CCATGGATTCGTTTTAGGAGTGCAGTAATTGAGATGTGGGTAATTACAGTTGTGCTGTAGAATAAAGAAAAGGTGGGAGTGTGTCACCTGGGCAGTGACCAGCAGATGTGTGTGTTGGTCAGCAGGAGGCTCTGAGGGCCACAGAACTGAGAGACAGAGAGGGGTATTTCACAAATCAAGGAAGAATCATTTTATCCTCTCTCCAGAACCTCCTTGTTTCACTGCACCATAAAAAGCTTCAAGAAATATTAATCCCAGCTTGTATTGGCAGCACAACAAGAGCATAATTTCATTTCCTGCTGTATTACAGAGTTAAAAACCACCGACAGCTTAATTTCTAAGAAATTCAAATTAATGGTACTGAAATGGGCCTGGTGAGATGAACATTTCCTGATGCTTTACAAAAGCTTACTTCTGAGTCCAGCTTTAGGAGCTGCCCTCACCTCTATAGGGGAACAGCCACCACCCCAAAATCTGCCACATGCAGGGACTGGGCAGCTGTTGTATTTCAAACCAAGTTTATTGATTCATAAAACTCCTCCTTAGCAAAACCACCAGGTAATAACTGTGCAGGTCGTGCAAGCAGAGGAACATTTTCTGACAGTCCTAAGGGTCACAAATCACAGTGGGGAAGAGAATTTCTGCTGGTGTTGTGAATTAAACTGGGTAGCAATTACTGCCATGGTGCTGAGGGAGTTCAGCTGGTGCAGAAAAGTGGAGGAATCCGTGTGCTTTGCAGATGAAGAAAAGTTTGAAACTGCCACCTGGGGGAAATCCAAACTTATCTTGGAAAAAATGTAATAAGGAGCTGAAAAATCTTTATGTTTCTCTGTGCCTTAATTTTTAAGCTCTCTAGTCTGCAAAAAATGAGAAAATCTCATGTCTAATATCCCTATACTTACAGTCAAAGTTTTATTTATTTTTTTAGCTGCACATGCCATTTCTGTTTAGTGTACAGCTTTTGATTTGCTAAGCAAAATATTTCTTTTCTTCATTCTCATGCTTAACTACTTGTGTTAATCCACTCCATTTAATTTCATCATCTAAAACTGCACCCCGAGTTTGGTGCCCAATGCCCTGATTCCTCCAACCCAAACACTGGCAGCTAAGTTCCAATTTAGACGTAGACTACTCTCAGAGAAACACTTAAAACTTTTTTTTTTTATTTTAAAAGCTGCAGCCTTTTGCAGGAACAGCTGTCTGAGATGAGCTAGTTTGAAATAACAGACATCCCAACCAACAGGAGGATACAAAATACAATACACAGAACAATTTTGTAACTTTATTCTGGATGCTGGAGTCATTATTCCAACATCATACAAGGACACTGCTTTACACACTCGAGGCTGCAACACCTTCACACGTGGGAGTCAGAGGGAATTTTTCTCAGGCTCACTCTGGTCTAAGTAATCCCTGAGGTATTAAGCATCTTGGTACTTTTATCCTAGAACATCTGAAAGCTGTGAGGGCTCACATCTCTCTTTAATGTGCTGGCGGTGGGTCGTGCTGCAGAACTGAACCATTTATCACCCTGGCTCACCTGCAGCTCTGGCCAGCAGCTCACAGCCCCTGCTTATCCTGCACACACCCTGCTCGCTGTTCTTCCACGGATGCTGCTCCTGCTGCTGCAGAGTCAGAGCTGTTGGTGCAGTTCCAGTGACTAATTCTTGCCTGACTCCCCAGAATATCACGGGTGTGGCCACAAGGAACGGGCTTGCAGAAAATGCACATTAATTCCCTGCAATGTGTATCTGCACCCAAGGGCACCCCCAGGGCCAAAATGCACCTGCACCCAAGGGAACACCAACTACCCCACTTATTTTGGAGAAATTAGTGACCGGCAGGAGGATTGTATGACTTCGGGTGCAGTGAGTGTCTCTGATGAGAAACAGCCCATCACATAAAGTGTCCTCATCACCCACTCAGTTACTTTCTGCCACTTACAAATGATGGAGCCACCTGGCTACTCTCACATCATTCCCTTGTCCTTCCTCCTGTGATTGTGACAAATTCCTCCTCCCATCCTCTGGTGGTGGTATTTCTGTCAGGTCTGGGAAGGCATTGAGATGAGGGAGCTGGCAGTGCATAATATCCCATTGCATCCTGTGCTGCTTGTATAAAACATTCTGATCTTCCCATATTGAAAGAGCACGGAAGGTATGGAAATCTGGGGGATTGCATTTGGATTTTGTTTGCTTTCTTGGTGAAAGATGGTGTCTGCCACAACCAAACTATGGTTTGGCAAAAGAGGAAAAATGGGCTGTCTGAAAATAATCGATATTGAAACTGCTTCAGGGCACTCCTGGAAGTATGTATTTATTGAAGTCTGAAATAGCTGAGGAAAAAACCAACAAAGTTATGGCAGAAAAGTTCTTCCTTCTCTGAGACAAGAACCGCTTGAAGCAGAGGTTTAACTCTTTGCTTGCCTTGCTCTGCCTTCCACAGACAGGTGCTTTGGTGCTGTGTGCCCGCAGTGCCTAATTAAACAGCAAGCCCTGATTTCCAGACTGGGGGGACACAACAAAGGGCCGAGAAGAGCAGCTCAGACTCTCCTTTCTCAAACCTCACAGCAGAAACTCAGTGTGAGTACAGGAGAAAAGCTCACCTGAAGAATAACTGCTGCAAATGTGTATTTATCCCTGCAAGAGAGGAGGGGAGAAATCCTGCAGCAGTGCCTGGGGCTCATTAACAAACGGGATTAATGAAGATGTTCTCACCACTCCACTGCAGGGCACTCAGAGATGCACTCTCATCCCCACGTCTGTTTTATTGGCACAGGATTCCTGCCATGCCCTGGAGAAAAAGACCCCCAGCCCACCCCAAGGACTCCTTTCTCCTCCTCCCACCTGGAATGCTGTCATGCCACGTGTATCCCATATAATAAAAACACCAGGAGGAAGAAATGCCCAGTCTAGCACCCAGCCCGCAGTGATTCAGCAGGGGGTGAACCTGATTACTGGAGGTTAATTAACGACCCACATCTGTAAAGCTCAACGTTTATTAACGACTTGTTTTCTTCGGGGGAGAGATTAATTGATGTTCGCCTTTAGAAGACACATGAAGGAAATTTGTCCCTGAGAGAAGGGATGCAGGAATGAAGCTTCCAAACCCGAGCTGCATGCACGGGAAGAGATTGGAAGTGACTGCCAGGAAATGTCACTGCTCTCGGTATCAATGCAGTGACACAGTTTAAGTGACAACAAAATCTCCTGTAGCATTTCCAGTGTCATTTTCCCGAGCAGGGGCTCGTGCTGCTGGCTGGACTCTGTGCTTTGCCTCGTTGATCTGGAGAGATCAGTTCTGTAGCCCTGGGTTTGTCAAGGGCAGCCTTTCTGATGGGGCCAGTCCAGCTCCCAGCTGCTCCAGACACAAAACCATTAACACAACAGCCCTCTCTGGACCCTTCACTTCAGTTAATTGTTATGATGGGTCCCTCTAATTCATGTGGGATTGTGTGTAATGTGTCATTGCATCACTGGAATTATTCAGGGGAAAGAATGATGAGTGGTTTGTGGCCCAGTGAATAGCAAATACTGCTATTCTTATCCCAGTCTTAGGCTTGGGCTTTGTCTTAGTGACAAGCCTATTCGATGACAATAAAGGAAAGGGAATTGGAGAAAATGGCCAAGGAGAGAATCTTTGTTTTCTGTCCCTCATTCCGGTCTCCCTGGAATGTGAGGAGTAGCAGTGAACAAAGAGAAAGCACTCGAAGCATTGAAACAGACTGATAAAGCAGCGATGCCTTTGTGATAAACTGCTTTTCTGCTCATCTGGAAGGTCAGTGGTCCAGCTTTTCTCATACTTTTTACCATGATAAAGATCAGATGTCCAAAAGAATCAGCAACTTGATGGGTCTGTGATCAGTTTGACCAAGTGAATTTAGGAGCCACTTATATTAGCAGATAATCAACAACAGTTGTGGAACCTGTTCAAGAAAACAACTCAATACTCCCCTCTGTGCTTTAGCCAGGAAAGGAGCTCACCCACACATTTCCCCGGAGACTTGTCCAGGAATTTGGAAATGAAAATAGCAGAACTGCTGGTGGTTCTGGTTTTGCTCTGGTTTATCTTCTAGAATAAAACAAGTCACCCAAAGCAGAGGAGGAAGCCTCTGCTCTGTACCGAGTGACCAGCCAAGGACACAAACAATTCCCCCCACTCCCGTTTTGTTCATCACCTCCCTGTCTCCTAACCTGCCATGTCAGTGGTCAGAACTGGAGAGTAAGTGTCCACTGCTTTATCTGAACTACTGTGCACACAAGATTTTGCTTCCTTCCATACTGCTCCTGACCTTAAGATCCTTAAAATGCAGAGCCACGCTGCTCTAGCTTTCCGTCTGTTGACAAATTTAATCATCAAGGTACAGATTGGCTTTTGGGTACACAGAATGAGATTACAGTGGAGAAAGCAGTTTTGAACATTCAAATGAATGTTCAGTTTGATAAGGGCTCTACAGCCCCGAGCTGTCTCAGCTCAGATCCATCCTGCACTGGGATTACTCAGGAATCTCAGATTATGGTTTTACAGCCAGGAGACTCTGGTATTACAGATGGACATGATCTAATTTCAAGTGGGAAGACTGTGGAAAAAAAGAAATTGCAGGACTGGGCTCCTGACACACAGGGTTTCACATGAGAAAACAGAAATAGGATAAAAAAAATACATACCACAACACCCACCCCCCAAGTTAAAACCAAACATCAGGAAGCAGTGGGAAGGTTTCCCTTTTTACACCCAAGGTGGTCAGCAAGGTTACTCCACAGGAGGAGACAGGGGCAGATCACAGCCTGTGAGCCTTTTCCAGCTAAGCAGCATTTACAAACAGAGCAAAACCTCCCCTGCAGGCACGATTCACGCTGCTGAGCAGAGATCCCAAATACCTGCCGGCAGAAACTGGGGCCAGCAGTCTCCAGCATCCCAGAAGGGACCCACTTGCTGCAAGTCAGACAAATGAGGCACACAGGGAGAAATAACAGCAAAAAGAGAAGGAGGAAACTCACAGCAATGAGCTGGTAGGAGTTGTTCATCATGGCTATGAGCATGTTCAGCAGCACAACGAGGGAGATGACGTTGTAGGTCCCGAACATCGTGGCCCCAACAAATTCTGTGAACTCGTGTCTGGCTTTCACGTTGGTGACGTAGAGATTGAGCAGCCCAAACACAGACCAGAAGAGTGACTGGAGGGTCTCGAAGAGTCTGCAAAGAAAGACAGGTTTTTAGCCAGCTACCTGATGCTGGGGGGTGGGAAATGATCTTCAGGTAGGGAACACACAGATATTGGGAGACACCACAGAGCACAGCCACTCACCACAGCCATTTGTCCCTCCCTGGGGACAGCCTGTGCTCAGCCACAGTGACCCACCAGCCAGTGCATGTGAGAGCTGTGCCATCAACAGCATTTGCTGTCTGTCCAAGAGCCCACTCCACATCCTTAGTGAGCATAATTGCCCTGAGGAACACAAGGCTCCCTTTCCCACTCTGCACACATGCAAAGAACAGCCACAATATATTCCATTTAATTAAAATTGCCATGCTGCGATGCTGCTGCTATCTATAAACTCTCCTGTTTAATCAGTGCCTGCATCATTAACATGTCTGCAGGATAAATGCTCAGGGAGCCCATCCCCAAGTACAGCACGAGTGCAGCAGTTAAACAGTGCACAACAAGAAGGCACCAGGAGGTGGGAGATGGCAGAAATCACAGCCAGCTGCACCTTTTGCTCTAATACAGGCTGAGAGTTTGCAAATGCTTCAGCTGCTGTGACCCTGTCTGCAGTACCTGCCCAAAAACTCTGCTGTGTTTGGAATACACCTGCCCAAAAACTTTGCTTTGTTTGGAATACACCTGGCCAAAAACTCTGCTGTGTTTGCAGTGCACCTGCACAAAACTCTTTTGTTTGGAATGCACCTGCCCAAAAACTCTGTTCTGTTTAGAATACACCTGCCAAAAATCTCTGCTCTGTTTGGAATACACCTGCCCAAAAGCTCTTCTGTGTTTGGAATACACCTGGCCAAAACTCTGCTGTGTTTGTAATGCACCTGCCCAAAAACTCTGCTGTGTTTGCAGTGCACCTGCACAAAACTCTTCTGTGTGTTTGTAATACACCTGCCCCAAACTCTGTTTTGTTTGGAATACACCTGCCCCAAACTGTGCTGTTTTTGCAGTGCACCTGCCCAAAATCTCTGCTGTGTTCGGAATACACCTGCACAAAACTCTGCTGTGTTTACAGGGCACCCGCCCAAAAACTCTTCTATGTTTGCAATGTACCTGCCCAAAAGCTCTTCTGTGTTTGGAATACACCTGGCCAAAACTGCGCTGTTTTTGCAGTGCGCCTGCCCCAAACTCTGCTGTTTTTGCAGTGCACCCGCACAAAACCCTGGTGGTTGTGAGAGGTTGGTGCAGCAGCTCCCACCCACCACGGGCAGAGTCCCTGGCAGAGCCCTGCAACCACCGCTCAGTAATGACTCAGATGAAGGAGAGTCATCACATTAATTCAGCTCAGGAGCTTCTCTTCTTTTGAAGGCTTCCTTCCATGGATGACCTGGACCTGACCCCAGTGAGCTGATGAGATCATCCCAGGTCTCTCTTTGCTTCAGCCACAGACAAGTGACCTTTCACAGACACGTCAGATGCGTAATCAGCAATCTAAATAATTGCTCTATTTGGGCATCTTTGTTTTGGCTTTCCAAAATATGGCATTTATATCATCCAGAAATGACATTTATATGCCTGTTTAAGAGTTTCCATTTCGGCCTGAGGTCAGCAGATGTTTTCAAATGCAACTACTAGACAAATCAATATGAATAATTCAGATGCCTTACTTGACATACCCAAAATCTGTTCTCTCATCATCTCCAGGCATTTGTTCACATGTATCTCCATGCCTTATATGAGGATTTGGTTTATACTTTGTGGATGTATCTCATGTTTTTCACTGGCCAAAATCATAAAGATGTTTTAAAGGAAAAAAACTTTCTCCCAAAGCTTGGGCTGTTAGGCTTATTAAATAACAGAGGTAGTAAAATGGGGATTAACCAAAGAATGCCAAGCATTTCTTTACTAGAAGTGGTGGAGTGCTAGCTGTCTTTTAAGGTATTGATAATATTTTTACTATTAACAATAGAAATACTGCTTGGGCTGTAGGCACAACACAGACAGAGGTTCTCATCATTAAACTGAAATCAGTTCTAGATGCACAGAATTACCCAGGTGTGTAATTTGGGCCCAGACTAAGGCCAACACATTCACACGTGGGCATTTAGTGCCCTTGACAAAGACACTGAGTGGTTCCTGCAGCTCTGCACAGCAGTGAGGCTCAGGTGCTGTGTCCTCAGTGTTCAATGACAGGACAGGTCCACAGCCTCTTTTCACAGCCCGTGTTTCAGGGGGGGCTCACACTACTTTGGAGAAGCAGCTATAAAAAAATAGAATTTTGGAAATTGTGATTGAGAGGCTCTCATGTCCTGCTGAGTGTATTTTGAATCCTAATCAAACAGAGGAATTCTCAAAGCTCCACCACTCTCCATGGTGGCTTCGAGAGAGCAAGTGCCCCTCTGGAACCTGAACCCAGGGGGAGTGGCAGTGTGACCCTGCAGAGAGCAGGCAGGGAGGTGTGACTTCCTCAACCCCTTCCTCCTCTTCCTCACTCTCATCTCCCTCCTTCAGTTGCCAGCATCATAGCTATAAACATATTTTCCAATCATCTGCCTAAGCAGCAGGCACTCTGCTTTCTGAGGGATGGCAAGGCCAAAGCAGAAAACCTTAAATTATTCATGATTTCCCCTCGCTGCTGCCACAAAGGAATATTACTTTTCCATGATCTGTGTGTGCAATGCAGAAAATTTCCTCGCCAAGAAAATGCTAAACCCACCCTTTGAGAGTAATAGGAAAAAATGTGCCCGTAAATAGGTGTCACACTTGACACAAGCTGCACACACACAAGGAGCATCCTCTCTGCTCCCCTTGCAGAATCAGAGCTCATTGTGTGAGCCCAGGAACGCTGGTGGGAATCAAAGCGCACTGATTCAAAGCTTTGCAGATTTATTCCTTCATAAGGAATGAACCACGAGCAAAGTCAGGGTATCCAGCTCTGGCTGGACTGGCTCCAGTTTGCTTCCCCCCCAATCCAATATTTGGATCTGCAGCTGCTCCTTCCCAGCCACTGCCCCATGCTGTGCATCTGCTCCCCAGCCAAATGTCAGCTTGTGCTGGGGGTGTTAATAACGACCATTTAAACTTTTAAGAACACGTTAAATAAATTTCTTACGCGAGCCTCAAACAAAAAGTACCTGCAGAGTGTTCTGTCCCCTGCCAGGAGACCTCACTCCTAATGGATCCCCTCCAACTGTGATTTTGTTTTACACAAACCTCTGCCACAAAGGCTGAGCCCCCTCAATTTCCTTCCTGTGCTACATTCCCTTGGCAGGGGGTTTAAATGAATGTTAGGGTGGCAGAAATTGTGCTTTGTATTTAAGCTGATCCACACACTTTCTGCTAAGTGCTTCTTGTATAATTTTTAGCTCCCAAAACATTACACCTTCTTACAGACTTCAGGATGGTTGGCTTGTTGCTTTGTATTTTTTTCCTGCTGGCCCAATGCTCTTTTTCTTCAGTCAAATCCTGCTGTTGCTTTCTCCACTTACCTGACACAATGAAATCTGTAAAATTTGCAGTGGTGGCAGGCCCAAACCAGAGTGCAGAAGTGAACACATCTGTTGAGCATAGCTCCAGAGCAAGGCAGGATTTGGTACTGGATTTTTTAGGCTTGTCCCTTCTTGAGGTAGAATTTAGCCCTTAACACACACTGTGCTTGCCAAACTTTCCTCCCTCTGGCTGCTGCATCAACATGGACACAGATCAAGGAATAGTGTTTGTTATTTAATTCCTTTGCAAGGGCAGCACGACACATTTGTGGGGCATGTGAGGCAACTGAAACAGAAAAAAGTCTGAAATCTCTTAATTCTGTTTGTCATTAGCACAGTGCAGGTCCATTCATTTCCCCCAGGCAGGGATGGGTTTCATGAGAAAATTAATCAAGCCTGTGGTGTTCCGGCTCTGCAGTGGGAAATGGCACAAGTCTGGTCTACCAGGTCATGCTGCTCTGGAAGGATGGGGCTCTGTCCCATGAAAATTCCAAATTTCTTTTAGGAGAGAGCCCACAGGACAATGCTGGAGCCTCTCCTCTCCCAGCCAAGCCACGTGGCCTCAGCCATCATCTGTTTTTGATCAAATACATCCCAAATCCTTTCTTAACCCCGAGCCTTCAGCTGACAGAGGGTGGAGAATTATTGGGCATCATGACAAGTTTTATTTAATTTAGCATAAAGTGGTGGACAACAGTTTTGTTTTGCTTGTTTGCAGGGCGTGGGCCTTTTTCTAGACCGTGCTTTATTTATTTCTCCTGCCATTGTGAGTTAAGTACTGTGCAAGCAGCAAGAACAATCGGGTGGGGGCTGATTATTATAATTATTTCTACTATTAGTAATTAAAACAAATACATCAGCAAGACAATTCATGTCATTTTTCAGCATGTGCTCTCTCTTTCAGCTGTGCCAGCTGTCCTCACAGCAATTTCCATGCCAGCCTCTCAGTAAACTACCAGCATTCCCAGCAAAAAAAGGTTCTGCTGGGATTTTAGTCTACAAGGAAATCAGAGAAGCCTGCAACATCATGTATCCATAAAAATGATCTAGGTGAGGTTGTTGCTGTTGCTGTATCACATTATTTATTAATACCTGTTTTTAATAGGTTTATCCTTTATTTTCTTCGTTGCTGTTGCTGTATCACATCTATTAATACCTGTTTTTAATAGGTTTATCCCTTATTTTCTTCATTTTATTCAGGCTCCCCTCCTTTCTTCAGTAATTAGGCAAAACAATTACTGTGGCAAAAGGACACTTCCTTTCTCAAATACACTGAAATTGTGCAGAGATATTTTAAATTGCAGGATCGTGTAGGGAAACTCCTTGATCCAGAACTAAAATGTCTCCCACTGCCAGACCTAAGTAAGAGTTTGTGACAGCAGAGCTCAGCAGAATGTCTGCCCCACTTCACTCCCACCTTAACCACCTCACCTGGCGTTTGCAAGTGAATAAATAAAGGCTCTGTCAGTGCAGTGACAGGCAGCAGGCAAAGCAGGGGACGGGGACAGGGGACAGGGGAAGCAGCCTCAGAAGCAGAAAGGAGAGGATGTCTTACGTGGAGAAGGCATTGTTCTGTTTCTCACATCGGATCCCCTTGCAGTTGTTGGGTTCCTCCGAGGCACTGGTCTCATAATAAAAATAAAGCTGGTTCAGTCCATTGGCAAAAGCCAGCAGCACCAGGCAGTAGATAAAAAGGAACTTGAGGATGTCTAGCAGCATGCGTCCCAGAGAGATCTGCAGGGGTCCCAGGTGGGAGTTGGCTGTAAACAGGGAAATGAGGCGCAGGGAGCTCAGGATGTTGGATATTGCAAAAAGGGCTTCTGCAATGAGGGTGGGGTGCCACATCTCCCACTCCTCCCTCGGCCGAGATCCATTGTACTGCAAGAAACAAAGAGCAAGGGTGGAAAAGTGAGCTTGTAATGACTCTGAGGGAACTCAGCCTGGAGAAAAGGAGACTCGGGGGTGACCTTATCACTCTGTACAGCTCCTTGAAAGGTGGCTGTGTCAGCTGGGGTTGGTCTCTTTCTCCAGGCAGCACTGACACAACCAGAGGACACAGTCTCAAGCTGCATCAAGGGAAAACTAGGTTGGATATCAGGAAAAAGTTTTTCACAGAGAGTGATGAAGTACTGGAATGGTCTGCCCAGGGAGGTGGTGGAGTCACCATCCCTGGATGTGTTTGAAAAAAGCCTGGATGTGGCACTGGGTGCCATGGTCTGAGTGAGGTGTTAGGGCTGGGTTGGATTTGATGATCTCGGAGGTCTCTTCCAGCCCGGTGATTCTGTGAATTCTGTAAACTCCAAAGGTCACACCCACCGATTCCAACCCTTCACAGGTAAATCCTTAACAGGTACTGTGACACAAAAAAGACTTTTAACCCCTTACACCTCAGCTGCTGTCACAGTCGGGATTCAGGACTGAAGCTGACTTGATTAGGGCAGAGATGAAGGTTTAATGATGCTTTATTATGAATTCTGCCTACTGATGGTGAATTCTGCCTGATGGTGAGAGATGGGACCAGGTTTTCTTTAGAGGCTTTGGGTATGTTTGAAAACACTGAAAAAATAATAAATAATAATAATGAATGAATAAATAATAAATATTATGAATGACTAAATAATAATAATTAATGAATAAACTGAAAAATCAGGATTTTTTAAAAATTTGGTTTACTTTTGAGTTTACAGTCTGTGGGTTCCTTATGTCCATGAGTTCATACACAACCTCCTTCTCTTTCAACATTTAAAGGGGTTCAGATTTTAGCAGCTTCCAGATGTAAATTTCAGATTACTTTTGTTCTTTTTCCTCTTAAATATGACTGCACATTATAAACACTGCACATTCCAGGAACAATGGGAGGGAGGGAGAAGAAAGAGAAGAAAAAAAGCAGTGAACTATTGGATGTTTCTCTTCCCATGTAATCTCAAAAAAGAGAGCCAGCAGCCCAGAACCAAAAGGCTTTCTTCGTATTAATTTTCCTATTAGTTAATTTGTCATGGCAATTTTAGGAGAGTTGCTAAAGCAGAGGTCTTAATTGAAACACTGGGTACAGTTGAGTGCATCAATTACAACATTAACTGGGTTTGTAATGTAACTGTAAAAGCAGAAGCGTTTTCTGAGCAAAGTGCAGCCAGATGCGAGCAGGTAACACAGAAGAGCTGCTGCTGGAAAATGCTCTGGTTCTGGAAAATGTAACTGCTCTGCCTTAACGACAGCAGCACAGAGAATGGAGTCAAAGACATTCAACATCAAGGAATAATTGTCCTTTTAACATTCGTCTCTGCTCATTTAGCATGCATAAAGAGGCAAAACTGCACTCAGAATAACACAGCTAACCCTGTTTAGGGCTCCTAAAATAATTCTGGTACCTTTGAAAAGGAAATGGTACCAATATCACACTGACAGACAAGATTGCAGAGACTTTCTATTTAAATCTGAAGGCCCAATGCACAAGCTCCAAATTTTTTCAAGGGCTCAGCAAAAAGCAGGTTGATATTTCAAACTATCCCTCTGTATGAAGGAGATGAGACATGATACAAAGGCATTTCAGCATGACCTCGGACTGCTCCTGACATTTCCAAACTGTTCTTTACTACATGAACATCATGGCCTGAGCCTGTTAGCTTGATTTGAAGATGGGTCTTAAAATGCCCACAGACAGGCAGAGAGGTTAATTTTGGTGGGTTTCCAGCAGTGGGGGTGGGTGGGTGGGATTGGGAAGCCTGGGCAGCAGATTTGAACAGTTATTCCCAATTCTCTTCTGCAGGCTGGCTGGACACAGCAGCCCAGGGCTCTCTGCTAAGGTTTAGCACAGATGGCACATAAAGGTATGGGAAAAGGTCTTCTGTGTCCCACACATCTTTTTAAAGCAATATTTAGGTGGTTAAGGTCATATTTTGGTCCTTTATGAACAGATGGTATCTCCTTGCTTGGCAAACAGAATCTTCAGAGCAGCCTGGCAGCACAGGTAACAGAGAAAGAGCAGAGTTATCTAATCTGGGAAGGCTGGAGTAGCTTGGTTTGGTGTCTCTTCAAGAGATGAAACACAGCAGAGATGTACACAGAATAGTACAAATAAATTACACCATGCTGTCACATTTACCCTTCCTCATTACATGTTAATTCAATGCAGCAAATGAAAACTGATTAAGAAAGTATTTCTACCCTATAATTAGCCTGAAGATTCCATTGGTATCAGACAATATTAGAGCCAGGTCTTGGAACCAGTCAAATCAAGGGAAAAAAAAAGTTTTAACGTAAAAACAAGGATGTAAAACATTTAGTGTCAATGTGCAATTTATTTTTTCTGATATTTGGCAGAAAGTTAAATGTCCATGTAATCCTTTGAAGTTCTAAGAAGTGTTAGAATATGGTATATTGGCATATATCCCAGCCTCTTCCAGCTCAGGGCTGTTCTATAAATAACAAATCATGTTGCAGAATGTTTTGAAGCCATTATCAACCTTAGAAACCCTCAGATTTCGGAGCACCCTGCAACCCCTGAACGACACAGGGCAGAGGGAACTTCTGTGGCCACACTTCAGAAACTGCTCCCACAGAAGATTTCATGCAGCTCTCAGAATTGTGTGACACTGGCCCTCACCAGGAGCTGACCTGAGATCAGATCTATTCCTGCAAACCCTCCTTTGTGTGCTGGCCCGTGGGGTTTTGTGGTTAACCTGCACGTTTCTGTGGCTCTTGCACCTCCTCTGTACCTGTGCTGTGGCTGGGAGTTTAAATCCCAGTGTGTGGCTGCACAAACCCAGGGATGCACAGCTCCTCTGGCAATTTTTGTGTGAGGAGGAACCAGGCTGTTAAAATTTTAAGATTTGTCCATGCATTTTACCATCTCCAGCTTTTTTTTTTTTTTTTTTTTTTTTTTTTTTTTTTTTGGTTGGTTGTTTTTTTTTTTTTTTTTTTTTTTTTTTGTGTGTGTGTGTGTGTGTGCATTGCTTGTGGTTTAAAGACCAACCTTTCAAGTCTGTAATTTCCTCCCTGGTTCTGAATGCTGGGAGAATAAAAGACATAATCTGTTCCTGCTTTGATGCTGTTACAGAGCTGCCTCTTCAGGGAGCAGCAACCAGCTTAAAAGCTTTTCCCTTTGAAAATCTGACTCACCAGGACTGCAGCCTCCAGGATTTAACAAAGGCCCCATAGCAGGGCTGTTTGCATTTTGGAGTCAATGGGCTTGGTGAAATTTTCTCCTCTTTCCCCCTCTGCCTGCTGGGCAGGACTAAACAGGGCTGCTCTGGGGAAGTGTTTGTCCTGGTTATTGGGAGCTGGGCTGCCAGAAGTAAAACTGGGAAGAGCAGGAGTGGCCGAGGAGCAGATCCCAGTGCCTTGATTTACACCTGAGTAATTCCACTGACTGCAGTGAAGCTGCTGCTGATTCATACCAAGGGAAGAAATAGGCCAAGCACGAAGCTCCTGCTGAAGCCAAAGAGAGCTGTTGCATAAGGAATTTTACAGGATGCCTTTTGTGTCTTGCCTTTGAAAAAGGGAGACAGAAGGAAAGTGCTTCAGGCCATCCCCTGGCTTCAAACCCTGTGCATATGCTAATTTGGAGCATCAGAAGTTTATAAATGTGGAAGGTGCTTTTGAGGATGAGCTCTGATGTGAGCTCTCACCACAAATGGAACATGACAGGCAATAACCCACAGGGTGTTAAAGCCCCAGCTTGCTCCTTTGTCACTTCCCTGCCCACGGGTCACATATTGAAGAGTAAATTGACCCCTTTATATCAGATTATCAGATAGAAGCCTCCTAAGAACAGTCTTGCTCTTCTCAGTAGACCTGTCACAAACTTCTGATTACTCATCTCCAGATCTGTAGGACTACAGATTATAATAAAGCTTGGCTCTAGAAGTTTTCAGGTTACCCCATTCTTGTTTACCATTTTATTTAAAAGCCATGTTTTCCCTATGCATTGTTGAAGGAGGTCCAGTGCCAGCACAGAAAACAAAGTGCTTTGGTAACTGAGCAGCTACAAAAGGCACAGGGAAGTAGAGAAATTTCTCCCCAGTGCCCAAACAATCTATTTAACTTTTAATCAAAGGGTCAGAATGAGCAGGATGTTCATTCTCCAAACAAAATAATAAGCTTTCCAGGTGAATTTTCAAAATTGGACTGCTTGAAAAGCTGCTATTTTCTTTGCTCTGTGATTTTCATTTGAACAGTTTGTACCCTGTGCACTACAGCTCTCACCAGCACATTACAAATTCCCTCTCCCAAGTTACTGTACCTTGACATAGGCAACAATTTTAAGGGAGATAGTTGCAAGATAGAGGGAGTTCATTGCAAAATCCATCAGATTCCACCAGTCGTGTACGTACTCATTGAATCCACCATCCCACATTTCCTTGATTTCTCCCCAGATGAAACCTGTGGAAAGAAAAGGAGTTCATTGCCATGACAAAGCATTATTTGCCATTAAAGCTCTGTGTGTATATATGTATGATGTAATACCAGACAACTGGAAATTAACAGCTAGGAAAAAATGCCTCATCCCTCCTGCCTTCTAAAAGTACAATGCTGCTGATTATGAGACATTTTACAAGTCTGTAGGGAATGCAGTCTGGAGAGAGCTGAAAAAGACCTTGGTTTCCTACCCAGGGCTCCAGATATGCACATGAGGAGACTGCCTGAAACACATGTTATTTATAACCAGGACGAGTGAATTGGCTCAGCTGAAATTCGTTCTACGTGAACAAACTCTTCAAGCAGCTGTATTTGGTGTGGTTTCTAACAGACTGTCTGCTCTCACAGACACTCTGAGCAATTCATTGCTCTGCTGGACAGCACTGATTTTCCCTGACTTTTCTCTAGCAGCACCAGAACCAGCTTCTGCGTGCCAGCACAGTTCTTCCCTGACCTGGAAATACCACACCAAAGCAGGGGGACGTGGATCCATCCCGTGTGCTCAGCCACTGTATTTACGGATGCACCTTGCTGTACAAGAAGCCCCCAGGGATTATTTGTGAGGAAAGGTAAGACTCAGCATGAAGCAGGGCACTGCAGCCTGGCACTGACTCACCTGGTGTCAGATATGGCTGTGGGCTTGGTGAGGTGTTTGTTCCCAAGGATACGGCCAGAGCCCATCATGTCACCTCTGAAATGCCTTCTGGTGATCATTTTTGGCACTTGCTAATGCTCACTCTACCTCCTTGCAGCTGAAAGGGTGAAGGGCAGCTTCTGAAATTCATCACCAGACTGCTAAACCCGCCTGACACAGCTCTGATTATAAGTAACTTCTATGTCCTTTCTTGTAGAACTGTTTAAGTATTTTTGAAAGCCTAAGAGCCATTAAAAAGCAAATGGCAGCTCCTTCATGCCCTAGATGCTTCTGAAAATGTCTTTAGAGCCCCAGGTATTTTGAATTGCCCACTTGACATTATCCTCAAATGAAAACCAGAAATGTGTGAAGAGGAAACAAAACAAAACAAAACAAAATCCACCTCCAGGTGCATTACCAATACAATTCCCCAAACTGCTGCCCCTGCCTGACCACAGGATATTGCAGTGGTCACTGATGTGCTGCTTGCAACTCAACTTTAAGAACCTGGAGGTTCAATCTGAAGAGCAGACAAAGTTGGAATGAACTGCTGCACGCCCCCAAATATCAATCTGAGCTGATCAGCTGCCAGCCAGCAGGTCAGTGGCCACACAAACATAATGTCAGGGCCAGCCAGGTAATCCTATTACAGCTGCCTCCACGTCTTTGCATGCACGCAAACCCATAAAATAAAATAAATCAATGGAGAGGAGCCTGTTGAAGAACTCTTGCACTGTATTTATAGTGAGTTATCGTTGCTGGTTACTATAGCTACAGCAATTCTGTGTGTGCCTGCTCTCTCTCCTTCTATAGTGGAAAATATTTCGTAAGTAATAACCTTTAATCTGGTGAAACTGTTCTAATTTCTCTATTTAATAAACAGTCATACAATATCTCTATTTGTCTGAAACAAAGGAACTCAAGAACAGACAGCTGTAAGAGGTACTTTTGAAAGGTTTTTTTAAATGGATTATCCTTCTTTCATCTGCAAATCAATTTTACTGAAATGCCTACCATTTCCCTCAATTTTAACCATGAATTTAAAGATGATGTGAAGATATCACCTAAGCTCAGAAAATACATTTAACCTCCCGAGCTTACTCTGAAGTTTCTCCCAACACCTGCATTTCAGTGCATAAATTTCAGTTTCATCAGATAATGAGGCTGGTGGTGGAGCTGTGCAAGGAGCACAGTGCCCTGGGTCACCATCCAAAGTGATTTGTGAACATGTTTGCAACTCTTACTTTCCTTCCCCGTTTTCCATCAGCAGCTATGGGTTGGGCACAGGGACAGCTGGGTTTGTTCAGCACAGAGCCAGAGCCACTACAGCAACAAGGAGCAGGGTCCTGGGGTCACCAGGAAGGTGTGGAAACCACTGCCCATGAGCAAAGTGCCTGGTGACATCCCCAGCTCCCAGGAGTGCCACATGCTGGTGGCACAGCAAGGGACACGGGAGCTGAACCAGAGGAGGGATCAGGGTCCTGATGGAGCTCACAGGTTTCCAGTGCTGCTGTGCTGGAGCTCAGTTTGGAAGGGTAAATAGTCCTCTCTCATTGAAAATACATCCATCTGGCTTCTCTGTTCTTCTCCCACCTCCTCCCATCTCACTGCCTCACCTGAACATCCTGCCCTCAGCACACAGACACCTCCTTCTCTCCCCAGCTCTGGCTGCCCAAGCCAGAGCCTCACATGTAACTTCCAGACAATCAACACTCCCTCCTTCTCCTGCTGATATCAGAGCACTTGCTGCTGATGTGGTCAGTGATTATCAGCAGAGAGTGAGGCTTATCTTCCCTCTCCTGCATTCCTGCAGCTTATCTGGCAGGAATGAGCCAGGCTGGTTTTGCTGCCTGCAGGGGCAGGTGAGGGAGCAGGGAGAGCAGAGCCAGGCTCTGGGCACTGCCTGTCCCTGTGCCAGCCAGCAGCAGCAGTGACACCGTGGGTGACCCAGGAGCTCATCCCAACCTGCTGCTCTCACCCAGCAGTGGGGGAAGCAGGGAGGGAGCTGTGTCTGCCCAGGCTGCTGGGGTCATGTCTGCAGGCACATCAGATGGCACAGAACAGCACAGCAGCCCCGGGCCAGCAGGAGCTGTTGTTCCAGGAGGAGCCCAGCTGTTCTGTGCAGTTTCTGGAGCTGGCTGCCAAATCTCTTCACATGCTGGGCTCGGGGATGAGTCCCCACACATTTGCCATGGGTGTGAGTCAGGCCCTGCAGCTCAGTGTTAATGGGTGTGGGATGT